TCAATTTAATTTTATACTCCTATTTAGATACGTTCGACTTAGACTGTGCCTTAACATTACATCACATTAAGTTTCACTGATTAAATATTTAAATGAAGTTTCAAAGTTAGGAGTTAGTTGAGTTTTAAATACTCAAAACAATTGTTTGCTTTCATAAATTTTAATTAATGAATAAATGGAATATATTATTTATGAAGTAATTAATATTAAAATGCATTGTCTAAGAGTAGTAGTAGTTTTTTGAATGTTTGCAGTGCCTTAAATGCTAGAATGAGAATTTCAAATCCTTTTGTGCTTAAAAATATGAGTGAAACCGAAAGTAATTAGCTAGATAAGCGATATGTCAAAACAGATAACAATAAATTCTTATACTGAAATAATTAAAAATCATTGTAAATTACTCTTCAAACAATTATTTTATTTTAAAAATTTTTTTTGGCGGGCCTTATTTTGGCCTTATAATTTTATTTTTATTAAAAACAAAACACTTTGGTTATAATCACTTATAAACTTTATTTAAATTTATTAACAAGTTCAATATTTCGATAATCGTCGGTGGTTTACTCCAGAAATAAAAACATCTTCATTTTCAGCTTTTTCTCAATCTAAGGAATGTTTAAAAACCCATTCCTAAGATGCGTGGAAGTTGCTAGTTATTTAAAATTTTAATTTTTTTGTTGTAACTATTGATACTATGTAGCCTCTTTGCAGAGGTGTTTGAAAAGTAGTAAACTAGAACAACAAAAATTCTTTTTTATATTATTTTAATTAATTGAATTTTTGGCTGACGATACAGCTGTTTCGAGTATTGCCAAATACTCATCATCAGTGGTTTTAGAAATAATTCTTATATTTAATTATTCGTAAATAATTTTTTGAGACTGCAAATTTCAGAAATCGAACTCATGTTCTGTTAAAAATAAAAACAAAAAGTTGCCTAAACTCTTAAGTATATACTTACGAACATTCATTCTTAATATAACTTTAATAGATTTTATATGAAATTTCAAACAGAACTAACGCGTTTTATATTTTTGTTTCTAAAAATATCACCGTGTGAGTTTTATTTTGTTTTCAAAAATAAAAGTTGTTTTTGATTTTTATTTTTAAAGCAAAAATAATAGTTATTTGTACATTTTAAAATAAAAAAACAGTAGGTAGGAGTTATTTGTGCGTGAAAAAATAAAAGGCACATAATAATAATTATTTCTGAAAAATATAATATAAAGCAAATATAATTATTATTTTTGGAATTTTATTTTAAAATGCGAATGATAGAAGTTATAAGTTGATTTTTTTTCTGATAACTGTTACGGTCTCTGATGTTATATATCAATAGCAATGTAAACTATTGATAAGCAATGTAAACGAAAACTATAAAAATTCTAATCCGTCTTACTTTTAATTTTACCATACCATATGTATTCTTAAATTCTGTCTAAACAAAATATATGTTTTACTTTCCATAGGCGTTTTCTTTTTCACTTTAAATACTTAAACGTATTTAAGTTCTCCATTTTTGGAGTATATAATAGGTAAATAAATTATAAATAATTTTAGCTAGTTACAAAGTTAAAGAGGTCTCCAGTTACAAATTACGACATTTCAAAACAAAGTTAAGCCATAAATACTTCTATTTCTTTTTCTTTTTAGTTTTCTGTTAGAATATATTTCTTTTCATTTACTCTGATATAGAATGCATTTTTAACTAAAATGTATAAATAATAGAAATTCAAAGAAACCTTTTATTTTAAAATTTCTTATTTTTTAAAATTACATTCTATCGTTTTATAGGTCAAACATTTTACTTCATAGTAAAAATTCATAAACGTCTTGTAAAAAGCGCAAAATTCTTGAAAGCAATTTCGTTAAATTAGTTTTATAAATTTTTTTCGCTTTCTCACGTTTAAGGAACTTATCAAATATGTAGGTTTAATTACAGCTTATATATGTATGTATCTATAAGAATTCTATTCTATCTATCTATTCCATAAGTTAAGATTTAGAAATGTAGGAATGTTGAAACTTTTGAAATCCTGATAAATTTTTAGATCATCATCTCCCTACTTCTACTTCTATATTAGAGTAACTTTGTAGTAAAAGAATGACATAAAATCAAATAAACATAAGGAATTTTAAAAAATAGATCAATGGCCTTTTAGACTGAAATGATTGTTGGATTGTTGCATGACAAATAGTATTTGTTAGAGCAGCAATACCCAGTATTTCTTTATACGTGTTTAGGATCAACACAAAAAATATCAAAAAACATTTGGAATTGTATTTTCTTGTTTAATATAATATAACGAATTTGCGGTATTACTATAAGAAACTAGTTTAATTTGGAAGATATGGTAATTAACTGGGAGGATAGCGTTAAATATTTTGGCATCACGTTGGACAAACGATTCAAATGGCTTAAACATGTTTAATTGAAAAGAATTAGCTGTGCCAAAATTCTTCATCACCTCCAACCGCTATTCAGAAATGAAAATCTCAATACTAAGAACAGGAAGATGATATATAATCAAATAATTCGTCCGTAATAACTTCTATATGGATGTGTAACGTTTAGCAAAACTTCAAACACTACTATTCGCAGCTAGAAATTGCACAAAGTCAGGCTCTTAGAAGACTTTTCAAAGTAACATGGTACATTAGGACGAATGACATCCGCAGGGACCACAAGATTGATCCGAAAATACATAAAGGATAGAGCTCTGAAATTATTTGCGAAAACTGACAGACTTACCAACACCGCGTTATCGAATCTCAGAATGGTTACAGGCTCCTCGGGGGGGTATGTAGATCTAGGGTAAATTATTGCTTAGTCTGATGAAGTGATAAATATTAACCCAGTAAAAGCTTAGAGAGAGATTTTGAAGATACCTCGAGTTAATAGAGAGTAAAAGTGCACAAGTGCACTTGCTCAAATAGCTTCTACATAAAAATAAGTGTTTAAATAATATAAAATGAAAAAAATTATAATGAAACTTTTTTTGTTAATATATATATTCCAACTTTGGATTGATTTGCAGACAAGTCATATATAGAATATATTTTATATTACTTCTAAAAATAATTGTAGTTAGTTCCCAACTAGACATATGTGTAGCTTTGTTATAAACAAATGGAAAAGTTAGAAGTTCTTATAAAGAAATACTTTTATTTGCTGATTGGTCATGAGAGATGAAGTATCAGCTTCTTATCTCTTCCAAAAACAGCAAAAAAGTTTTTTTTCAGTGCAATAGTATAACATCTCAAATATGTCTATATTTTTAATAAATCTTTATCAAATAAAGTTGCCACAAATAGAATCGACTGATGAAATATGAGTATATATTCATTTTACTGTCTGTTTTTTTAAATATCTGCTAAAAAGTCAAAAAGACCTAATGTATTCAAAATTTAATGGGTAACATGAATGAAGAGTATATTTGTTTTAAAATCAAATTCCAATTAAAGTATTCGAAATTTTATTCGAAACATAAAAACAATTAAAACATACATTAAATCACGTTTTTAAAATAAAACCTAAAATGTAATTAAACACAAAAAAGGTACATAAAAAGTTTGGTAACACAATCCTGGCAATTGTTTTGTGAATAAAACAAGAGTCACGTATACGCCCCCTTTAACCTTAAACATTTACTAATTTGGAAAAAGTGCTGAAACTGCAATTACAAAGAAATAAAACGAAAACTCCTGATTTTTTCTATACAATTAATGAACTTAAAATAAGTAAAAATAAAATGACGTATAAATTCAAATGAAAAAAGCGTTTAATTAATTACTCAATATGGGAGAGCACATGTCCGATTTGGAATTGTAACCATTTTGAATACCAGACCCAACACATAAAAGCATTTAATCTAAATATACTTCAATAAATTAGAAATTTGATTTTTTATATTGCTAGGCTTTAAATAACTTAAAAAACATATATTGGATTTATATTTTGAGTAAATTACGTTAACTTTATTATGTACTCAAAGTAATAAAAAGATATTATAATTACTTAAAATTTTGTCCTTTTTCTTTTTTTTAAGATATTGCAGTCTAACATGAACTTATGCCATTTTCGATTGGTAAATCTGAGGTTACTTAAGCCGTGTGCGAGTTCAAGTAAATTGAGGTAAAACAAATTAAAATTTCCTCGGGATTTTTTGTACTGCACTTATCTAAATAATTATTTATTACACTTATTTATTATTGTTGGTTAAAAGTTTTCAAACTTATTTATTTATTTATTAAACAACTCATAAAATTTTCACAATAGTAACACCTAATTTACCTAATTTTTATCTTATTTACCCTACTCGAAATCCTGGTAAATACCAACATTCGCTGCCATACCGACATAATTTACTATTTACTCAATTTACCATCAATTTACTCGAACTCGCACACGGCCAAAGTATTTGTATTATATTATATAACATTATATTATGTTATATTATTTTATATGTATTATATTATATAACATTATATTGGACGTGTGCGAGTTAGACTAAAATGATGCTAAACCAAATGGGAGATTTTTTGAGATTCTTTGCACTGCACACATTTAGCCATTTATGAACACGTATCGACACATCACTACATTATCGGCACAACTTAGAATTTCCCTCATTTAGAACGCAACTTAGCCTAACTCGCACACGTCCATTATATTGTTAAGGTATTTGTTTCCTTCACATTGACTATATTTATTGTCTAATATTTTCATATGTATTTTATTCTGATCTATTGAGAATATACTTATTCTAGTCTTTTTAATATGGAGGTAACTAAATTGTGTAAAGTAATTAGATTATGAAATCTTTTGAAATTTGAAATTTCGTGCTTTCCAGACTAACAATTTACAATAACAAATATATCAACACATTTCTTTGGTTATGTTGCAAATTGCAATATTAAAATACAAAATTTAAATCATAAATACCAGATTCGTTTTTTTTAATAAATAATTTATTTTATTTTAAATTCTATATATAACTTTACACACAAAAAACAACAAGCCAAAATATTGCATTGAACAGTAGAAATGATATAGGTAACAGAAATCTTGCTCTGCGATCTAACCATGCTGACGCTTCCTCTGGTGTCATTTGAGCCCATGGTTTATTATCCAAGCTTTCCAGAGAGTCATTATCACCCAAACTATTTTCATTATTGCTTTCCTTATCATTAGAAATTTCCTCACCGCAGCATAATTCTGGGTCTAAGTTAATATTGTTTACTGCATTGTCTTCAATGCTAATGGTGCTGTTACTGGTCTGTGTGGTGTAATAATTTAAGTTTGATTCACTTTCGGAGATATTAGATGGCATTTCGAGTGACATGCATTTCAGAACCTTAACTGTTGGTTCTGAAGAATTATATTGTGATGTAGTAATGTGTTTTTCTGATTGACAACGATTTTTTCTATGGGTGAGTGTAGATTTAAGTATGTATTTGCTTTTAAGACGTTTCAACTCCAGGTTACGTCTACGCCGGAAAACTGTGTTAGAAAATGCGAACTCAACTAAGCCAGACACTATAAATAATGTGCAGACTACAAACCAAATTTCAAATAAACTTAGATATTTAGTTTTAAGTTGACTACTCTGCATTGAAGAAGTAAGTGTTATGAAAGTTAACAAAGTACTTGTGCCAAGCATGGTTCGTGCAGGTGTTTGATCAGCACGTAACCAACACGATGTCCAACCGATCGCCACAATAATTATAGAAGGCAAAAAGTAATCCAAAAAATAATAACCCAAACTTTGTGAAATTTGAATAGTAAATTGAAGTGTACTGTAATTACTAGAAAAGCTTGTATAAAATGAGCTCACAGGGTTCTGCGCTATTAGGCCTTCTGTAGTTGCCGTCGACATTAGGGTATAATCCAACAGTTTCATTTGGTCACTATAAATAATAGTTTGATTTTGTTGCCAGTGTAGTATTAACTGATTTGTATTATACATCCAACTCTGAAAGACTGCAGTACAGTTTTCTACATCATAAGGAAATTTTCCCCAAGTCGTTGAGCAAAATAAAGTCACTAGTACATTAGTAGCTAAAATCACTGTACCACTTGGAGTAATAATAATGCGTATATTATTATCGAGACCGCTTAAGATATTGGAGTCTTTTTGATTTCTGAGTGTTATACTTGGTACCCATATACGTGTATATAGTTCTGTGCTACCAGTTATGTAGTCTGAAGGGTCTGTGGTTAATTCCTCAAAACACAGTCGGGTGTCATTATACATGATATATAATGTCGCAAACATTGTAAACTGCAAATTATCGGAATCGGTCGATTCAATACTATTTACATATGCATTTATAAAAACTTCAGTTGGATCATTCGTTACTGTTCCATTTACTAGCGTCGGTGGACGTTCCAAACGATCATATCGGCAATTTGCAGTTAATGTATCAATTATTTGAGTTTGTGTATAGTTTGACAGATCTGATAATTTGTTGCATCGGTTGTAATATATTTGTGTTACATTGAAATTAGTTTCAGTTTGTAACTTATTAACATCTGACGATTTAATATCAGTTTCACTGCTCATGTATACTGTAGAAGTAAATTGATACGCTGTAGAGTTATTCCATAAAGGCGTAGCATTATTTTCATTGCAAATGTTTAATAAGTTTTGATTTGGATTGATGGTTCCTAAGATACTTAAAGCTCCTTCTGTAGTATTTGTTGTTTGTGAGTCAATGGTATGTAATTTTGGCAGCAATATAAGACACGAAAAAATTAAACGTAAAAACATTTTTTATTTTTATAAATTAAATATTTATTTTTTATAATATTTTATTAATTCTTTTAATACTAAATATGAGAATGCATTGCGTTGTCGGTACTAACAATTGAACTTAGTCATTTAATTTTGTATTAAATTCACTAACTAAAATTAATTCCGAAATATTTTTAAATAGACCATTCATTTTAAACTAATTTTTCATATTGCAATGTTTAATTGAAAATTTTTTTGTAGATATTGTTATCTATTAGATAAATCGTTAAACAAAAGAATAGTATATATGTTTAATATAAGTGAAAGGTATTAAATCTAAATATCATTTGTCTTCCACTTCAATAAAAAGTATTTGTTTAAGTCAAAATTTTGATGAAGCACTTTTTCGTTAATTCATTGAAAAACATTTTTTGATAAAATCTTATGCTATATATAATTGAAAATGAATTGGTAGTATGAAAGGCTTATCATTTTTTTAATACTATCAAAACGAAATATTATAAATAATTTCTTTTTTGTACTTATTTAAAACTTTGTAATGCTAAAAATAATACATTCGACTAAACGTGCACTATACGATATGTATGTATGTAACTTGAAATATATGAAAAAAATTGCTGGAAGATAATTTATAATTAAAAAAAAAATTCAACTTGAAATAATAAAAAACTATAATAACTCTTTTTGCAACACATTATTATAATTTTTGCAATGTAATTTAACATTTGCAAAACATTAATCAGTTATATCAATAGTAAATATTTTCACTATTTACTAAAATACGTAGAAATATATTTCTCTAAAAATTTTTGGAAGGTGTGAATAAAGATCAGGGCTTCGAATCGGAATTTTTTCCGCTCCGGTTCAAAAAAAAATATAAATTTGTTCTGTTCGCTTTGACAAAAATATTGTTTTTTCGGTTTTCGGTTCGATTCCGGTTCGAAGATCTGCTAAAGATTGAGGGTTTTTATAATAACGGAAGCCATGAAAATTATATCATAAAGGGTGCATTATACTGTTTTGAACTATCTTCCGTTCAATCAGCCAAGTCCCTGCAATATGAACTTTCTTAATGAAGTACACTATAATATTTAGAATAATATTATTATTTTAAAGCAACTGTGGAATATTTACTTTGACGTTTCACAGTTTTCAGGGATAATTTTTGTCTTAAAAAAAACTAGCTAGACTGGATACAGTTAATATATTGAAAGTTATTAGAACTGTTAATGAAATCAATTGTCTTAGTTAGGAGTTGTGTGGTCTTTATGTGTATTTCCTTTATGAAATCCTTACTAGAAATATAATATACATATAATTTACATATAATATATATATATATATATATAATTGAAGTGGTCGTTCTATTGTAATGCGTCACGTTAAGAATGTCCGCGACTACTACTTTTGATCCATAACAACGACCATTTAATTTTTTTATAACAAAGTTTATAAATTTTTATTATATTCCGATAAAATAAAATAGTCAAAATAATAGACTTTTTATGAAAAAAAAATGAATTTTTCCTTGAGAACTGCAAATTAGTTTGAGAGAGTTAATGTTAATGGCAGGCATAATTAATTTTTTATAAATTTTTCTTTACTAATTATTGTATCGTCCCATACAAAATTAAGATTTTTAGGTTTTTTAATAAATTCAAAATATTTACTTATGTCTACAGATTGTACATTTCCTTTTGCTGTCATTGAGTACTTGTATTTTCTGAACATTTTCCACACCTATTTATCCCTATGAAATTGACATGACTTACAATAGCAGTGACTACCGGTGAAATTACCCAACGTATTAATATTAATTAATTACCGCTTTTATCACTATAATCACTTTTCAGCTCTTTTGTATGCCTGCTATAATTTTTATATATTCTTACATCACTTCTATGGTATTTAAGAGATATAGTTAATTAATGACTTTTAAAAATAGAATTTAGTTTGTAGACTAAGGTTAAGAATCCGTGATATGAAGATTTTAGTAAATTACGAGTTTAGTACATTACGAGTAGATTTTTGTAAGTGAAAGTCATTTCGTTGGTATTTTTGGTGTTTGAAATTCAATGCACTATTCGGTATTCAAAAAATAAAATGATTTAGTTTAAAATATTACTCATTTCACCTGTTTCAGCAAAACACTTTTTAGTTTCGATTTCATTAGATAAAATAATTGCTCATTTGTTATTTACTTGTATATTGTTTTTTTTTTTGTATATGCGACACTTGGATATTATGTAGATTATTTATAATTATTTCGCATAAAAAGCATTTATTATAAGTCATTTTTAAATACCATTTAATACTACAAAATACGATATTGAAGTTAAAATGTATGGTATAAAAAAAAATAACATATAAAAAAATATTAGGAATATTGTACTTTTATGACTAAAATTATTGAATACAATATTTAAATAATACCTACTTATGTTTTATAATCATGTATATTTATGACTATAATCTCAATACAGAGTTTATTTTAACTAAATGAATTATACGGCGTTTACATTGGCCGAAAATGGCTCATTTTGGTCAAAAATCGAAAATGAGTATCGAATGGCTCATTCTTTTGCATATAAAATTTTAAGCACAAAATGAGCAATTTTCTCACATTCTGTATGAATGACGTTCGAATGCATTCCACATATGTTCCAAATGCAAAGGAATCTATTGAACATACCCTAAATGAAAGCTCTTCATGGCATTTTGACAGTTTGTAAAAGCTGTTTTGACATATTTACAAAAAAAGATAAACAAATGTTTAGTAGTTTTATTTCAGTTTGAATTGTTACCATGAGAACGAATGAAATACAACGAATGTAAACACTTTCAAATGAGTCATTCAAAATGAGCCATTTCCGGCCAATGTAAACGCCGTATTAATCTTTAATAACTTTAAAAATTTAAAATGTTTGTACAGAGGATTTCTGGAACAATTTTCACTTTTTTAATATTACTTGTTCAGTCGGGTTGCGCATTTTATTCTTGAATTTTAAATTTTAAATAAACCCCTGCTTTGTAATTTATATCAATTTAATTTAGTAGGACGATTTATATCATAAGTATGAGTTACCCCAACTAATGGTGCTAAATGAAATTAACAAAAAAACCGGTAAAGGTACAATTCCTAGCTACGGAATTTCTACGGATTTGAGGCGGGTTGGTCTAAAAACGAATATTTGATGGTTTACATTCTTTTAAGAGATTTGGCGATTAAAGAAAAAGAAGAGCATTGATTGCATGCATGATTGCAGTGAAAGGGTTATTTTTGAACTGATATGAATTGAATTTCGTGGCAGAAAACATTTGCAGTCTGACATTTTTGATCTATAATTGTATCACTAAAAAATGTATTTAATTATTAGTGTAAACTGTTGATGATTTTATTTCGATAACTCATCCTGTAATTGTGCACTTAATTTTCACCTGCCATCTATTTAACTCTAGCTTCATATTTACTTATCTTTTTGTTTGTTTGACTGTCGTTTCTTAATATAAGTCTTATTTATTAATATTACATTTAAATTTAATTTTGCATTAAGGAAATTTTCGTATTTTTGTTACGATATTTATTCTAATGCTTAAAAATAGGTCATATAAAAGATGTAACAATAAAAACATAAAAGAATGTTATTGTATTTCAAGTGCTGCGCCAAAAAATTCCTAGAAATACTTTATAGAACGAAAAACTCGAAGAAGAAGATTATTCATTTCATAAATTTTACACTTTGACACATCGATGAACTTACAATCTGCACATAAAATGGAGAACTTAAGAATTTCTCTGTTTCTTCTGTATGTGCTCTACTTTCACCGACGATAATAAATCCTTTAACAGCTCTGGAGCAGGCGGCACAGTATTTTTTTTTTTTTTTTGAGATTATATTTCTTTTGTGGCTGAGGTGAAAAACTATTTAATGCTCGAGGAGTTCTGTAAGGAATAAAAGCGTTTGAATATTTCAAATTTCGTAAGGAATTTTGCAGGATTGCACATTTCAAGAAATTTTTTATTATTTTCAGAATTTTTTTTTTTTTAACAATTTCACAGCTCGTAAAGTTTATAAAGTAAAAAATATGCCAAAATATACAAAAAGAAAATGCTGTGAGAGCCTAAAATTTGTTGTTATTTGGACAATTCTTAAATTTTTTGTTAAATCTTAAAAAAAATTATTTTTCAAAAATCTACACAAAATTTTTTTAATGTTTTAAAATCGTAAAAGAAATATCAATTAAAAATTTATAATTTGGACACTTTAAATTTAGAATTTTACATACATATATTAAAAAGTTACCTTTACCTTTACTGTTTAAATACTTTCCACATAGATCACTTAGAACTCGGAAATAAAATGTTTTTATATAAGAATCATAGGTTTATGTAACTGTTGTATTAATATAATGACTAGTCAGTTAAGTTCTAGTTAAGTTATGCGACTGTTGCTTAATAAATTTGGGCAGATATGTTAAAAGAAGATGAAAGATACCAATTAGGTGCTTCAAGTAAAATATAATCTGCACTACGGTATGGGTGCTGACAAGTCAATGCGTACTAGAAAGATATACTATGAGACTGGGATTACTCTATATTGACTTTTATCGGAGTTGGGGCTTTGCGGTTGAAAGTGAAACTGTACTGCACCTAATATATCAATGTCCTCCACTGGCTAAAAAAAATTTTAAGTTCCTTGGGCCACTTTCCTTACCGATCTGATACAGCTCTCATCGTGCTAAATACCAGGTTGGTTCATTTTGTTTTTGATTTTTCAGTTTTTAGGTCTCATGACTTACTACATTGTTATACAATATTTATTACTACTTTAAGTTTTTAGGAATTGTTTTTAAACACTCCATACGCCATATTTTTGTCTCTAACATAAGAGAAAGTTGGGGACGAAGTTATATTGAATCATCCAGTTCAGATAATAAAGAATGCATAACCTTACGTGTTTTTCGATTTCTCTGTTTTAAGTCATATATCAGGTAAATGAAATTAGTTTCCCCTTTTGCCCTATATATATATAAAAGATGTATCAAAAATATTTATAAATTATATTATAAATTTTGTTAAGTATTAAAGAAAATGTGTAAATTTAGTATATTTGTATATTAGTATATTAGTATATTTGTATAATTTTTTGGATTTTGTTTATATCTTAAATATTATCAGTTTATTTTCCTTGATCGTATTTGATTTTGATCGTTCTTTGAATTTAATACTACCTATATATTTTTAAGAAATAATTGCCACTTCAAAATTATGTAAATCTATTTCTGAGCTATGCACGTTTAAAACAATATAACATTTCTTTTATTCTATATGATAATGTTTATGATCATATTTCATTTCATTCGTTTCATGTGATAATTTATATCATTTAAGCCGAATTTACTTTTTTAATGTCATTGTTTGAAAAGAAGTAATAAAATTACTTTCACGTAGTTTTAAATCTTTTTATTGGGGTTTTAGATATTTGAATTTGATTTAAAAACATTTGTCTGATAGTTATCATATTAATAACATCGGTCAGCAACTTTAAAATATCAACATTTATTTATAACAAATAATTGCGTTTTAAAAATCTACGAAAATATTGCATATTTGTATTATTTAAATTTATTAATGACCTGTGTACATAACATCATTTCCTTATCTATCAAAATAAACCATAATTAGATACCTAATATACATTATATACGTATATACCTTTATTAAAGCTTTTTATTACTTATTTTGTCTGGTATTTTAAGTCAAATTACATTTATTAATCTATTACTTTGATTTTAATTATTATGTTCAGGCTAGTTGAGTCAGTGCATTTGAGCACTTCTACTCTCTATTAACTGCGAGATTTATTCATAACCCTTCTCTACGCCTTGACTGAAATATTGTTTATCACTTCATCAGAATAAGCAATAACTGACTATGACTATGCAATAGATCTGCATACCTCCCCGAATAGCCTGTAACCATTCTGAGATTCGATACCTTGGTGTCGGTAAACCTGTCAGTTTTAGTTAATAATTTCAGAGCTCTATCCTTTATGTATTTTTTGATCGGAACAAACTTGAGGTCCCTGAGGATGTTAGCTAAAGTATTATGTACTTTTTATTAGTACTTAAAAAGTTTTCATCTAATGTAGATAGCGTTTTAAAATATTTTTATTCTTATTACAGTCTAATTTTCTTTGACTTATCTAACACATTGCGTTAAGAACTTCAAACTATCTATTTGCGTCAAATATTACTTCTACACTTAATGAGAAATTAGACACCAACAGTCTAAGCAGCGTTCTGTTTCTGATTTGATGATCATTCTATACTATTTGAGGCACATTGATATTTGACTATTATCCAACACAATTTCTTGTTTATTTTTTAAGTCACGTCTATCGCTAATATGTGTATTTTTTAAATATAAAAGTTTTAATACAGAACGAAACTTTTTTTTCTCATTTCTACAAGCAATTTAAGTCGACTGAGAAAAAATTATAAAAAATAATTTTGACAATAAAAGGAGGTGATAATTTTCAGGTAACATCGATAAAATATGTTTATCGGGAATCGTTTGCATCATTTTCGGATGCAAAAGTTTGATGCGCCCTACGTATCAACTCTTTATATTTAATGTTTTTAGTAGAACAAGTAGGTATACATACATATTTATTTGCATTAAAATATTCTTCAATTTGAATATAACTGATAGGTTTTGTGTTCATTTGAAGCTTTATCTAATTTTTCTTATTAGATATCGCGTTTTTTTATATTTTAAATTTTAGTTAGTAAAATAAAGTGATGACATTCACAAGTATAAAAGTTTGTCGTTGGCGGTGATTGAATTGTCACCATATTTCACATATGCCCACATTTTTTTCATTGCTTAGAAATGCCAAATTGATTTAGTGACATTAATTCGCATATCCAACTGTCTCTCCCAGCATTGATGAGCTTTCCGAATTCGAATATATTTATTTTTGCGTTGACGTTTGACGATTGACAGATATGAATATACTTTTTGCGAAAATAACTTTTTGTAAATGATTAAGATTGATATTCTGATTAAAAATATTTAAAACAATTTAACATGAAATTGACATTACATTAAAATAATACTTATTTTTTAAAGAACATATTTTAAATAATATTACATGTATTCTTCTAAAATTTTATTTATTTCCTTAAAAATTCCTTTGTCGTCAGTCCGGCCTATAATGTTTGACTCTGGAACGTGTATAGGAAATTTCTCCGTTTTATTCTCATGTATATTATCGGTGTATACATAACATGTACCTAAACAATTCATATTACTATCAAATTCATACATGCTAAGAATGCCACTATTTAAATTTATATCTGGTAGACTTTCGTCAAGGTTTAAGCTATTCGAACTGTTAAGTGGATGGATACTTTCTTGTGCAATTAATTTATTTTGCATATTTAAGGAATTGATCTCTATTTCATTTTCATTAATTTTTTCTTCTTCTCTATTATTGATTGATTGTATACATATTTCTTCCAACTTCTTATTTTCGGATTTGCTGTTTAAGTTTGTAGCGCCTGCACATATATCGCATATATATTCTTTAATCTTCTTTTTAGAATATTGTGCATTTGTCATGCATTTAGGATTGTGTATATTATAACCTCCACAATATTCACAAGATATTAATTTCCAAAAATGTTTATTGTATTTGCGACCAAATGGACATAAACAATTTTTCGCTTCACATTGCAGTTGCAATTGAAATTCTTCTCCATAAGATTCCTCACATTGTGGTTTAGTATCTGGAACATATATACCTTGTAGTTTTATATTTTCCCGAAAATTTTTATTGTTACACCATATGCATTTAAGATTACGTCCTGCGGTATATGCATATTTCTGCATGCAAATACGGTGTACATACCCATTACCGCAACATTCAGCCCAGATCCATTCGACTGCAGAATAAGGGCCCAATGCTTCATAACATATGTAGCAAATATAATCTGACATCTCAGAATTAAGATTGAGTTTTTTGGCATATTTGTGAATTGGCAAACATTCGTTACAATACGTATTAAACCCATATCCGAACTGAAATAAGCATCTCATCTGCCGTCCACAATTTAGGTGCAAGGCATCACCACAGGTCGCGCAGAATATTGTGGCGTAATATTCGTTGCAATAACAACATTGACACTTGGATGCTCTTTTTATTTCCTGTCGTATGTCATTCATTAAAAAGCCTTTTATTCCACTCCTTTTTTGGCCATTTGGTGTTAAGTTCTTAGAGAGTAGCAAACAAAAATGATGCACTGTGATGTTGCCTTTTTGCAGCCATTCACCGAAGTACAAAATGTCCCTTTCCGTGTCAGATTCATTATGACAGAGATCACATTTCTTCACCAATAGCTCATTCATAATAAATTTTCACGTTAAAAATAAATTGAAAGTTATTCAGAGTTATGACCTTGTTTTTTTTTGTTTTTTCAAATAAAATAAAAATAAAATAAAATAAATGTGATTAAACTTCAAATCTGAATTTGAAAATTTTGTTAACTACTAATATTTAATCTTAATTGTATTTAATAAATAATATACATATGTAAATAATTTAAACATATTATCTTCTAATTTATAAGGCCACAAAAATAAATACTTCTTATATTAAGCATATAATTTTAATATATTTACTTTATAATATATTCTTTATATAATTTAATTTAATCTGTACTTGCCGTGGAAAGCATATAAGTAACTAATACCTTAGATTTTGTATTATATTTTATTTATAGGAGTTTTATGTACTTTTACTCGTACATATATAACACATAAAGTTCATACGCATAACTTTAAAATTTATGTGTTTTGCTATTAGGTTATCCTTTGAAAAGGTTTCAAATATTTACGCCAAATCCACACTGTTTTCCAAGCTAACACGTAAACATCTGTCCGAAAATGAAATCCTTCATACCAATTGAATAATAAAAAAGGGTCAAGTAGGAACAATAGTTCAAAGTGTATCATGCAAAGTCATAAATTTTAAATGCGAAGGCTAAGCAGAATTCTCAACTTGTGTTCATAAAATAACAATTCTAATCTGGATTACAAACTATCAAAGGAATTGATACATATTTAAAGAGAAAATAGAATTTAAAAGATGGAAAAGTTTCATGCGAAGGGCTTAGGCATTCTTGAAAACTTCAGCAAAACTTAAAACCAAATAGCTTGGTTTATTAAATATATAATAATTATTAGTGTAGATCTGAGACTTTAAAGCATTCTAAAAAAACCCTTTACACATTTATTAAGCTTTATGTATTTATATATTTATATGTTTAACTTTAATAAATAAACAACACATTACTTAGCGATATGACAACAACATTTCTCTAAGATGTAGTAGTTAATTAATAATTATTGAGTAAATACTTTATTCAAAATATAAACTTACTTGTTTTGCCAATCATTGTGATATATAATAGAAATCTACAAATATATGCGTCAGGCGTTCCAAATATATTTATTAATACTATTATGAAGTGATATTGTACCACAGCTTTAAGATCTTTTGTGCGTCCTTTATGGTCTTTGAATAACTCTTATTCCTAATTTCTCAATAAATAGTATTTGTTATATTTTTATATGATATTATTTTCTTATTTTTTTATGATTAGGTTTTAGACATTGCGGGTTGATACGCATTTATATAGAAGATATCCATATATGTATATCCCAAATAAAGATCTTTCAATCTAATTTTAAAACTTAGTTTCTCATAGCCATTTGTGTTATCCAAACGTCACTTATGTGCTAATTAAACAAAAGAAGTTCTGTTTTTAACCAACCACAAAAATAATCTAAAAGATTCAGAACAAATGAGAACTTAAGATTTAAATTTTAAAATGAGAACTTAATAAAATTTAAATATAACAAATTATCTAAGAAAATAAGCTACTATTGACACAACCCAATATCAAAGTAACTTAATACAAGCCTACTTATTTTATTTCTATCAAATTAAAAAAACGTAATATAGGTATACCGGAGTATATATTATTACTACCCACTGCAGTGTAGAGTTATTTTTAAAAACACAAAAAAAAGAAATAATGGATCGTTTACGTCTTAATTTAACTGATGCTGAAAAAAAAGATCGTCATCGTTTACAAAGACTAAAAGAAACAGATTTCAAAAAATAAAAAAGCAAAAACAAAAAATTAAAGGAAAAGTGTTAGCATAAATGCAACAGTGCAAAATTAAGTACTAAAATCTTATTATCAAACTTTATATTACTATTGTTATTTTAGTTATAGGTTCTCTTTAATAAAATTCTTTGAACTGAACGGTCGTGTGCAGAACTTTCTATTTATTTCTAACAAAAAAGTATTTTTTAAACTAGATTAGAACAAAATTTGATGATGCTTTTCATATGCTTTTTGACCAAAGACCAGTATGATATTTTTGCTATTAGTATGAACCACAAAGTTTAAGAATAATAAACTGTATGATTATTTTAATATGTTTTATGCATCTTTAGTATAATGTAAATATAATGAATTATATGAGAGCATAGGTACATTATATAGACTGTAAAATAGGTATATTATGACCTGAAAATGTTTTGTGTTTACATTCTAAGAAATGAGGTATCAGTGGACAAACTACAAGCAATGTATCCATAGCTGTTGAATTTGATTCATGGACCATTTTTAACTATCTCGCGGAATACCAATTGGGAACCATTGTTTCAGAGAATGTTAAAAGCCATAGATAATGTTGAATGAAAAAGAGTATGTAGGCTGAGCGTCGTAGTATTTTCGAATTTATTTATTCATTCCATTTAAATAGAAGTTATTTGATATTTGATATTGATGTTTATTGTTTTTATAAGTTAATTTCGATTCTTAGACGGTAATGTGAAACATAAAACGATGAAAAAATTTTAAACACAGATTAGTGAAATAATTAAGTCAAATATCGAAAATGTCAAACTGTATTTAAATTGCTTTACTAAATCGAGTTCACAATAATCATAAAATAAAATTATTCACTTTACTTAAGCAAACTGTTAGTGCTCAATTTAGTTCATAACTATTCAATTAAAGTTTTATATATTTTTTAACAGTAAAACAATAGTATACAGTACTTATTGGCAAATAATATGATTCAAGAACATTTGTACCGAGTCGTGAATATGGCAACACAAAAAGATGAATAAAACCAGAAATGCTAGTTTATATAATTGTAAAATGGAAAGAAAATGTATGGACTTATCTATGACCCATTTTTGTTTGAAATTTTTACACCAATTTCCGCCAATACACTAATATCTCTAATATACGATATGAACTAAAGAGAACAAAAAAATATTACAACCAACTAAACAAAACACAGTTTTTTATTTATTCACATCACTTTTCTTTTACATTTAAACACAAAAAATGAAATAATCACTCACTTAGTAGAAGATACTTTAAATAAAAATAGTTTAATAAATATTTAATATAATTATTTTAAAATATTTAGCACCACCACAGCGAGAAAATGATCGCAGCATGTACTTCCAGTTTATCTAAGTGATCTGCAATTTTATCGAAATGAAATATAGAAATATAATTAATAATAAACAAATAACACACTTACCTTATTTATTTGTTGCTTATATTTAACTTTTAAAAAAATATTAAATTAATTTTTAATATTTATTTTAATTTTAATAAAATAATAATAAAAATATATCACCACCGCCAGCACTAGTTAAATAACACAAGAATCAAAACAAAACAATAAAACAGCGAAAATAAGAATAGTCAAAATATTCGCCGTACGAGATATGCAAAGACTGCATAAAGATATGCATAAGAAAGCTAAGAGTGCAGCTTAAACACGGCACACAAAGTGATAGAAAGTGTAAGAACGGCAAATAGGAAAATTTCGCTACAAAAAAGCTTCGGCTTATTAGTATTTAAGACGGCGCATTTTACATGTCACTAGTTTTTGATTATGCGTCAGGGTGGTATTACGCTAGAAAAACTTAATTATAAAAATATATATATTTATGACATATATATATCCATGAATAAAATATATATATAATTATTTGAAAATTTTGCGGTGGTTTTACAACAAAGGATTTAAAATTATTATATACATATTTGGAGAAATAAAGAAATCCCATGTTCATATTATAAATATTCCGTAGTGTAAAGATATATATATTTATGACATATATATGTCCTAATAATTGAGGATAATTCTGTTCTCCACTAGGTGTCCTGAGAAGAACTATACGGAATTTCACGGCGCTCGTCGGCAGAATCCACGACACTCATTCGCAGAAGCCACGGCGCTCATCCATCGAATCCACGGCGCTCGCTGACAGAATTCATGGTACACAACACATCTAGTTATCGCCTTGATATACAATATCATTGAAGTAAAAATATATAACAATACATATATATATATTTTTTTTGTATAATAATACATATCGAGTTTTATATATTTATTCTACTACGATTAAATTTAATCAGCTCTTTTATTTGTAATCACACAATTAAACTAAATAACTTTCGCACGTTTAACTAAATAATTTTGTACAAACATTTATTGAAATAATAAAGAAATAAACTTGGAAAAAAATTGTAAACGATTATCTTTTGTTTAAGAAAATTCTGTTCCCGCGAATATAAATTTATTGTCACGACCCTGGACGACGGCTGAGGATACCCCAAGAATCATTTTGAACGCACCCAGAAAAAATGTCGTTACAGTACATACATATATGTTTTTAAAATAGCACGATATAAGTAAATATTTAATAATTTAAGTAGGCAAAAAATTTACTGCTTAAAATAGTACTGGAAATCAATTTTTAGAATTTAATTATTGAACTTACTGATAAACGTGTGCTTAGCACAGTGGCGTAACTATATTTTTTAGGCTCATAAGCGAATTATAATTAAGGAGCTCCTACTAATATCTTTCTATACCCTTTACACGAAATAGTGTAAAAAAGGTATATTAGGCTTGTGAAGATTTTCGTATCGTCTGTTTGAAGTCTGTTTCAGTATCTGAACAATGTGTCAATTTATTCTGTGTATCTCAATTAGCAAAGGCATCATTTAAATCGTTTACTCCTTCAGTTCTGTCTTCAATTTTAAGAAAATTTAAGAAATTTTTAAGAAAATTGTCTAGTTTTGGTAATTTTTTTAATGTTAATAATGAATGAAAAAATTTATAATGGGGCCCCCTAAGTTCGGGGGCCCGAAAGCGTTGCTTCCAGTCGCTTCCCTGTAGTTACGCCACTGGCTTAGCATATTAACTTTTCTCGTCTACTGTAACATCTTTTAAATGAATTTTTCTGGGTTACATCGGTGAAGAGGAACTCATTAATAGAAACAAGCAAGCCGCAGGCAGTATAATGTATAACAATAATGTGATGATATGTCAATGAGTGATATGAATTACAATATACAGTGTGACAGTTAAAACAGTGATAGAAATTGTTTTGTTATTGTCAAGATGTTATTTGTTGCTATCTGATTATTAAAAAGACATGTATGTATGTAATAGACAAAAAACTCTCATTCATATGTTTACAATTTTTAAAAATAAATTGATGTCATAAATTGCTAAATTTTCCTATAAAGTAATAATACAGTTTAAATTATGATAAATATAATACATTGAATCAGAGTAACTTATACGAATATATTAAACTTTGAGTCATAAGTTTGATTAGTATGTACATAATAGGGAAGCTTCTCATGCTATGAATATCGCTTCTAAGTAAATAGAGAAAACACAGCGCGATAAAAATAAAATATTGAGGTTAATCATTTTATATAATCTTAACTGAAAAAATAAATTATCGACTATTTCGAACAATTATTTCAACTCTTAACCTTGTTAGATTCTAATGACATTGGACCTTAAATGTGTAACTATTTGCATGAAAAATACCAATATTGACATTAATATCAATGTTTAGATATCGCCCCCATCAGATTTGTTCAGACTATCTCTGTATGACTATTTTTATCCTCTCCTGACATTTATATGTAACATTATGGTATTTGACATCTTTCGTTAAAATGAATAAAGGAAATCTTTCGCTTTTCACTGGCGAAAACAATTAAGAAAAATTTTTCTAAAATCAGTATTTATTTTTTCTTAAGTTTCTTAATTTTTCTCATTTCAAAAAAAAAATAAATTAAAATTCAATATATGGCTTGTACAGCTTTTTACAATGTTTTAACGTATTCTGCACTCTTCAAAATGTGTGGAAAGGTCCAACACTTGCAAAAAAAGAAAAAGTACAGCTGTTAAGCATCTATTTAAAAGTTGAATAAAAACCAAAGAGTTTGTCTGTTATTACAACTAAAATGAAACATCTGTCGTCAGTTGAACAGACTTGACAGGTTAATAAGTGGACAGGTTAATAAGTGGAACCAGTATTGACAGGATACCACACCAGGCGCGTTTATCTTAATTTGCTGACCTGCAGCAATCTATTTTCGATAATATTTTGGAACAGAATTGAGACCTTTTGGTATCTGACGTGCAGCGATACTGGTTTAGGTCATTATATAAATCATGATATATTAAATGGACATAGATAACTTAAAGTTTAGAGTTATTTCACGTGAATATGTGTCTTGAAAACTTAACACTGCGATGCTCTTAACACATATATCGGAATAATTCGTCGATAAACAGCCTATTAGAATTTATTGGTGGGAATTCTAATAGCCTTGGTGGGAATTCTAATAGCCTTGGTGGGTGCAATGTTTATCTAGCACCTCTGCTGTTCTTTGGGTCACAAAATCTGGTTAGAAAATGCTAGATCACATAGAATTAAATAAATGCATTCAGTAAATGAATAACCACAACCATTACG